GAAAGAAGTCTCTTCTGCTCACCAAGGCTGCATTTATTTGATTAAAAATAGAGTAAAAACAGTAAAATTGTGAAATATTATTACAGTTTAAAATAACTGTTTACTATTTTAAAATATTTGAAAATGTCATTTATTTCTGTGATGTAAAGCTCTGTTTTCAGCATCATTACTCTAGTCTTCAGTGTCACATGATCCTTCAGAAATCATTCATTCCTTACTGTATTATTTTCTTTCCAAAAAATAAAAATAAAAAATTACACCTTCAAATGGCATAATTTCCTGAGAATATCCTTAAGATATCTGTCATTTTTTTTATTTTTATCATTTATTAATTTTCAGTACAAACAAGAATGCGGTGACCCCGTTTTCTGGGGACAGTCCCTGTTTTTGGTGTCCTGTGTCTGACTGGAGCTGTCCCCGTTTTACAGCACATTAAAAACAATGATTACTTTCACCATCAGAGGGCGCTGCGAGCTATACTGATTACTAGTCGCGCGCAGCTACTGTAGCCATGAAGAACTGGAACGAGAGCAGAGCGCTATTATCATCAATTATCAAAAGAGACGCCGTTATTGGTTTCAGGGTAGTCACATACTAAAGGTGCTTTCACGCCATATCGTAATTACCGTGATTACGAGATACCAACTTGTAAAAAGCGTTCACGTCCTCGTAGTACTCGTAATTAAAGCTTGTGAATTGGAGTTTTCTGTGATCTACAACTTGTACCACTTGACCACCTCAGATTCATTAGACGCTATGTTTAGGCATTGATAGTGTGATCGTTCTGAGTCCAAGGGTGTAAACAGCTCCAAGTAGAAAGTTATATGTTGTCATCTCGAAATCATGGTAATTACGACATGAATGCAGTGAATGCAGCATAACTATACATGTTAAAACAAAGTAATACTGTTTGTGTGCACTTTATAGCAAGGTATGATAATGTTGTGGCATTGTGTAGCACACAGTATTAAACATTCCTGAAACCTCCGCCGTCACAACTCCGATATGAATAACATAAAAAATAAAAAATAAACTAAACAATTATAGTTGCAAGATTACATTTGCAGAAAGCACATACTCTGCGGTCAAAATGAGCCTAAAATGCAAAATAATAAGCCTGAGTAGGGATAGTAAAGATCCATTTCCAAAAGCATAAACAAAATAACTTGGAAAAAAATTATTTGAAAAGTTGTAATTACTTTATATTTTAAAATGTTACAAATATTTGTTAAATACAGTTTTATTTATCATATGTTCTCATATTTATTGTTTTATATTTAATGTGTTTTTTTAAAGCCGTAAGTTTGTTATAATCCTATTTTGATCTGTTTACCAGAGCCGGTCCTCCCTATACCCAAAATACGCAAGCTGCGTAGGGCCCCCGAAACACCAGGGGGCCCCCTTGCTCTCAAAGATGATTTAATTTTAGTTTCGTTTTTTGAATTTGGCCAGCGGTTATGAAAACATGAATGATCATTTGTTTTAATGCAGTGTGCTGTCGCCCTTTCTACGTAAAAATCAGTCAAATCATGTAATGTGAATGTCATACAGTCTCTTGCTCGAGACAAAAAAAAAGAAAAAAGAGTTGAAAGCGTACCGAGCCATGGAAGAGACACTGTTTCTAAAGCACTTTCCGTGAGCGCGATTCGAGATTGAGTGAACACGGACAAAGACGTTTCATTCATTCATAACTCGTCGACCCTCCTACGCTTTGCATAGGACCCCCAGAAGTCTATAATCGGTACTGCAATTTACCTACATATTAGATGTTTGAGACACTGTTTCTCAAGCGCTTTCCGCGAGTGCGATTCGAAACAAATGCGTTTCATTAATTCGTTTATAACCACTCATACCCCACTTCACTGCCCCCCCCACACACAGTTTTGCGTAGGGCCCCCAGAAGTCTAGGATCGGCACTGCTGTTTACTATTTGCAATAGTAACTATATACGTTTCATAGTGTGATTTTTGGTGAATTGTAGGCCTATTAAGAAATTAAGGTAAGTTTGATCCTCAAACATCATTGTAATTATTACTAATTATGATATTAATATATGGAAACCACAACAATTAAAAAACAAATACATACACAAATATATTGTCCCTGTTTTTTTAATTTGTAGATAATCACAAGTGAGATTTCAATGATATTTTGACCACTGAACTAGCAAATGTCCCCGGTTTTCATTTCAGAAATCTGGTCACCTTAAACAAGAATGAAGCCAAACAGCAGATGTTGTGTTCATGTAGCTTTCAATGTCTGTAAAACAACTCAAAAATCACATTCACATGTGGGAATGAATGCATGAAGGAATTCATAAATTTGAATGAATGCATGAATGGACGGGTGTCAATAAACAAGTGGGTGAATGAATGGAGAGATGAAGCTTTGCTGTTATGTGAAGTGATTTGTAATAAATGCAGAGTAGCTCATGTCATCATTCAGTCTGTCTGTCTCATTTCAACTGTTACAGTCGCTTGTTCTACCTGTTTCCTTTCATTTTTCTCACTCACTGTACAGTTTTTTTTTAAATAGAGTTTTATACTTTTGCTGATGTCATATAAAATGTCTTTGCTCTAAACTTGACTATCATGTTCTTCTCGCTGTTTGTGGTTGTTCTGATTTGTGTTCCGTTTTCTGATTTCTGTTTTTCTCCTCGATGCATGCTAGTCTCACAAGCGACTTTCCAAAGTAAGCATTTCTCTCTTCTGTTCTGTAGTCACTCAGTCTCTCACCCTGTTTGTCTGTATTTCTCCTCCAGTGGCCGTTCTGTAGTCTGTTCCGGTGTTATTGATTTGTCTGACTCTGTCTGTTTGTGTGAATGCAAGTGTGTGTCCAAGTGTTTGTTTAAACAAATACACGCGTAGACTCCTTTCTCTCCATCTGCTTTCCTGTCAGCAGGTGTATTTGTCACTTATGATTCTGCATCATAGTATGATAGTAGGTTAAAAAGAGTGAGAAGTATTTGACTTAGGGCTGCATGATGCACTCTGCAAATGTAAATGCACTAGACTGGTGCATTTACATAAGCACCAGTCTAGAGAATACCAACTCGTATGCAGGGTTTATGTCACCTCATCTAGTTTATTGTATTTGCCATATACATTAACACAGTCTATATTATGAAAACTGGTAAAACCTTAAGAAATTAAAAGTGAAATTCCTAACTCCAAATTCTGTTTTTTCTTCTTCTTTGAATTAAACAAACAAACAAAAAAAGACTGTATTGTGGCACAAACAATATATAGTCAAGATTCATGTTTGGATTTATGATAGTTTGTCACTGAGAATATGTGCGCACAGATTTAGTTGCAACAAGTTGCCAGGTTGGGAAAATTCAGTCACACTTGAGCAGAAAATGTATCAATTTAAGAGAAAAGCTCTTATAAGGGGATTTAAACACTTGACATCTGGCAACACCACGCATGAATGCTCCTGGGGGACTGTTACCAATGCAAGATAATGGAAATGTCAAAAATAACTAAATAAATCAGGAAAATAAGATGATTATGTTTAATAAATCAAGAAGGGAAGAAATCGTGATCAATAGTCGTGCAGTTCTAATTTGATGGCCGCCACCATGAGAGGACCAGCCTTATGTATATGAAATAGGTGATATGTATATGATTTTACTACACTGATATGATTCTTCATTTTATGTGACTGTGCATTTATTTGGGGTAAAAAGGGTAAAAATAGGATTTCAGCTATTTTAATCTATAGGTCTTTTCATTGATCACATCAGAGTGCTGTGTGAGATGAAATCACTGGATAATCGACTGTGTTTGTCCCATGAGTCACCTGTCTTTGCAAACAGATGATGATTTATGATTTCCAACAGAGGGAATTCTCAAACCAGGAATTTCCTGACTATGCCTTCTGTGTTCACTAAAGTATTGATCAATAATGTAGTAAACGAGTGTATATATCTTTTAATTATTAATAATTTCCATGTAAAACAGACCATAAAGCTTCCTTTATTTCTTTCTCTGAAGCACATGGGATTTCAACAGTTTGCCGTTAGCATGTTGCTATGCTAATGACTTGATACTCTAATAAGTTCAGACAAAAATATAGCACCTGCAAACCTATGTAAAACATGCATTTGAATTGGTCTTGATTCATTTAAACAACATGTAGCATGTGGATTTATTTAGTGCTTTTATGAATTTGTTCGGCATTGAATATATTTATGATAAACATTTCTCTCAACTCCATTTTGGATTGATTGATTCAGTTATTCAAATATGTATCTGTTTATATTTAATATATTTATGATAGACATTTGTCTTGACTCCACGATTTTATATGTATTTATTTATTTTCGAGCAATAAAGCATAAGCCTAGGCTCAAATAATGTAGTAATCTTACAAGGCAGCATAATGTTACTGCCTCTTTGGAGCAGCCTTCATGTCAGGAGCAAGCTTATGATGCTTTAAAATGCTATTAGGTATTTTTTAGAAGTAGTAAAGCATGCTAGCAATGGGTTCGATTTCTAGAACAGACATGCATTCTAAGTGACTTTGGATAACAAATGCATGAAAATGCATTAGCTTCCAGTTTCTCCTCGTTTTTATTTTTCATTCTGTTTTCATTGTTTTACAGTATGACAGATTAAACCTGATTAAAGTAAGCATTTCGTGTTGTTCTTCATTTGACCCCTGACCCCTAAACTAACGCTACCTTAAGTGTTAGTTCATATGTGTAGCACCCATGCTTTCCTGTCAGCAGGTGTATTTGTCACTTATGATTCTGCATCATAGTATGATAGTAGGTTAAAAAGAGTGAGAAGTATTTGACTTAGGGCTGCATGATGCACTCGCACAATTATTGCACTTTACATAAGCACCAGTCTAGAGAATACCAACTCGTATGCAGGGTTTATGTCACCTCATCTAGTTTATTGTATTTGCCATATACATTAACACAGTCTATATTATGAAAACTGGTAAAACCTTGAGAAATTAAAAGTGAAATTCCTAACTCCAAATTCTGTTTTTTCTTCTTCTTTGAATTAAACAAACAAACAAAAAAAGACTGTATTGTGGCACAAACAATATATAGTCAAGATTCATGTTTGGATTTATGATAGTTTGTCACTGAGAATATGTGCGCACAGATTTAGTTGCAACAAGTTGCCAGGTTGGGAAAATTCAGTCACACTTGAGCAGAAAATGTATCAATTTAAGAGAAAAGCTCTTATAAGGGGATTTAAACACTTGACATCTGGCAACACCACGCATGAATGCTCCTGGGGGACTGTTACCAATGCTAGATAATGGAAATGTCAAAAATAACTAAATAAATCAGGAAAATAAGATGATTATGTTTAAAAAATCAAGAAGGGAAGAAATCGTGATCAATAGTCGTGCAGTTCTAATTTGATGGCCGCCACCATGAGAGGACCAGCCTTATGTATATGAAATAGGTGATTTTACTACACTGATATGATTCTTCATTTTATGTGACTGTGCATTTATTTGGGGTAAAAATTTGACATGCAGGATTTCAGCTATTTTAATCTATAGGTCTTTTCATTGATCACATCAGAGTGCTGTGTGAGATGAAATCACTGGATAATCGACTGTGTTTGTCCCATGAGTCACCTGTCTTTGCAAACAGATGATGATTTATGATTTCCAACAGAGGGAATTCTCAAACCAGGAATTTCCTGACTATGCCTTCTGTGTTCACTAAAGTATTGATCAATAATGTAGTAAACGAGTGTATATATCTTTTAATTATTAATAATTTCCATGTAAAACAGACCATAAAGCTTCCTTTATTTCTTTCTCTGAAGCACATGGGATTTCAACAGTTTGCCGTTAGCATGTTGCTATGCTAATGACTTGATACTCTAATAAGTTCAGACAAAAATATAGCACCTGCAAACCTATGTAAAACATGCATTTGAATTGGTCTTGATTCATTTAAACAACATGTAGCATGTGGATTTATTTAGTGCTTTTATGAATTTGTTCGGCATTGAATATATTTATGATAAACATTTCTCTCAACTCCATTTTGGATTGATTGATTCAGTTATTCAAATATGTATCTGTTTATATTTAATATATTTATGATAGACATTTGTCTTGACTCCACGATTTTATATGTATTTATTTATTTTCGAGCAATAAAGCATAAGCCTAGGCTCAAATAATGTAGTAATCTTACAAGGCAGCATAATGTTACTGCCTCTTTGGAGCAGCCTTCATGTCAGGAGCAAGCTTATGATGCTTTAAAATGCTATTCAATTTAAGAGAAAAGCTCTTATAAGGGGATTTAAACACTTGACATCTGGCAACACCACGCATGAATGCTCCTGGGGGACTGTTACCAATGCAAGATAATGGAAATGTCAAAAATAACTAAATAAATCAGGAAAATAAGATGATTATGTTTAATAAATCAAGAAGGGAAGAAATCGTGATCAATAGTCGTGCAGTTCTAATTTGATGGCCGCCACCATGAGAGGACCAGCCTTATGTATATGAAATAGGTGATTTTACTACACTGATATGATTCTTCATTTTATGTGACTGTGCATTTATTTGGGGTAAAAATTTGACATGCAGGATTTCAGCTATTTTAATCTATAGGTCTTTTCATTGATCACATCAGAGTGCTGTGTGAGATGAAATCACTGGATAATCGACTGTGTTTGTCCCATGAGTCACCTGTCTTTGCAAACAGATGATGATTTATGATTTCCAACAGAGGGAATTCTCAAACCAGGAATTTCCTGACTATGCCTTCTGTGTTCACTAAAGTATTGATCAATAATGTAGTAAACGAGTGTATATATCTTTTAATTATTAATAATTTCCATGTAAAACAGACCATAAAGCTTCCTTTATTTCTTTCTCTGAAGCACATGGGATTTCAACAGTTTGCCGTTAGCATGTTGCTATGCTAATGACTTGATACTCTAATAAGTTCAGACAAAAATATAGCACCTGCAAACCTATGTAAAACATGCATTTGAATTGGTCTTGATTCATTTAAACAACATGTAGCATGTGGATTTATTTAGTGCTTTTATGAATTTGTTCGGCATTGAATATATTTATGATAAACATTTCTCTCAACTCCATTTTGGATTGATTGATTCAGTTATTCAAATATGTATCTGTTTATATTTAATATATTTATGATAGACATTTGTCTTGACTCCACGATTTTATATGTATTTATTTATTTTCGAGCAATAAAGCATAAGCCTAGGCTCAAATAATGTAGTAATCTTACAAGGCAGCATAATGTTACTGCCTCTTTGGAGCAGCCTTCATGTCAGGAGCAAGCTTATGATGCTTTAAAATGCTATTAGGTATTTTTTAGAAGTAGTAAAGCATGCTAGCAATGGGTTCGATTTCTAGAACAGACATGCATTCTAAGTGACTTTGGATAACAAATGCATGAAAATGCATTAGCTTCCAGTTTCTCCTCGTTTTTATTTTTCATTCTGTTTTCATTGTTTTACAGTATGACAGATTAAACCTGATTAAAGTAAGCATTTCGTGTTGTTCTTCATTTGACCCCTGACCCCTAAACTAACGCTACCTTAAGTGTTAGTTCATATGTGTAGCACCCATCAACTATTCCTCCATTCCCTTCCTCGTCTGTTTCTCTCTCTCTCGCCATCCACATGTACACACGAGAGACCTGTCTCACACCTCTCTTGAGTTTAGATCAGATTAGCCCACATTAAACCATCCAATCCCTGAGCCTTGACAGGGTAGACCAGTATGTGTGTTAGCAGGTCAGTGTGCGTTGATCTGTAGGCTTTTAAGGGTCATGAACGAGACACAATGAGAGCTGTGTGCTAGCAAATCCGTCAAAGTAGCACACACACACACACACACACACAGCATGTGTTTGGGGTGTAGGCTAATTGAACAGCTTATCGGCTGACACACACCTCTTGTCGTTTTGTCTGCTCACTTTAACCGAGACTATAAAACAAGGGAGCCCATTATGTGCCATACCTCTTCAAACTGATATAGCATCAGAGTTTGTCCTCGCCTTAAGTTATTCCCCTGTTTCTTTTCATCTAGATGGTGCTCTGTCGTAAAGAAGATGTGTAAAACCAGTTTATCCCCATAATGCATACTGTTTTTGGAAAGACATATATCTCACACTACCTTTTCTGTCGACATGGAGTTGTTTCTTAGGCATGTAATCATGCCCTTAAAACCCTCATGAAATGATTTCAATGAATGCAATTATGTCCTGTGTTGATGAACAGGAAGTTTGGGTGGGATATGTCAAAGGGTTTGTCTTTTTAGTTCATGTCACATTCTGGAAAGTAATATTGCAAGATAAAAAGTGACACTGTGTGGTATAAAATCACAGAGATTAAATATGAAGTCACTTTGAGAGATAAAAAGTCATAATTACAAGAAATAAAGTCACACTGCGAAAAATAATGTCATAATTATGAGAAATAAAGTCACTCTGAAAAATAATGTCATAATTATGAGAAATAAAGTCACTCTGAAATATAATGTCATAATTGTGGGAAATAAAGTCACTCTGTGAAAAAATAATGTCATAAATATGAGAAATAACGTCACTGTTAAATACAATGTCATTATTACGAGAAATAAAGTCACTCTGTGAAATATAATGTCATAATTATGAGACATAAAGTCACTCTGTGAAATATAATGTCATAATTATGAGACATAAAGTCACTCTGTTAAATACAATGTCATAATTATGAGAAATAGTCATTTTGCGCAGATATAAAGTCATAATTACGAGAAATAGTCACATTGTGAGATGTCACAATTACGAGAAATAAAGTCACACTGCGAAATATAATGTAATAATTATGAGAAATAAAGTCACTCTGTGAAATATAATGTCATAATTATGAAAAAAATAGTCACTTTGCGCAGATATGAAGTCATAATTACGAGAAATAAAGTAACATTGTGATTTATGTCATAATTATGAGAAATGAAGTGACATTGTGGGATATAATGTCATAATTACGAGAAATAAAACGACATTGCAAATTAATGCCATAATTACAAGAAAAAGTTATGTTGAGAGATAAAAAGTGACACTGTGCGGTATAAAATCACAGCGATGAAATATAAAGTCACTTTGAGAGATAGAAATTCATAATTACAAGAAATAAAGTTACTTTGCAATATGTAATGTCTTAATTACAAGAAACAAAGTCACATTGTGAGATATAATGTCATAATTACAAGAAATATTTTTAAGGGTCTTTTTTAAGGGATTTAGTTTTTTTTGCCCAATAGAACAACATTTAAATAGAGGTTATAAATAGAGCGGTAGTGATGTCAGTTCACCCCTGTACACAAACACCCCCTTAAAAGTCTCTTTAAGTTTCTATTTTGGTTCATGCGGGTGTGAATTTGTCTTATTTCCATGACATATCAGCTTTGAAACTGCTCATTTAATCATTTATTTTTGTTTCATTCTATTTGTGGAAAGGCCAAATGATACATGTGTAATTATCCGGTGAAGGGAAATGTCAGTCTAGCAGACTTTACCAGCTGCCACATGACAGGCCCTTGTCCAACCCTCACAGTCTGTAAATATACACTCGCTGTGAGGGCCGTATGCAAATAATGCTCTGCATAGCTACTGTTTTGCTCTACATAATATAGTAATTTTCTTCTCCTTCTCTTTCAGAAAAGCCAGAGCTGGTACAACGTAAGTCACACTTTATATTAATTAGTGTGTGTGTGTGTGTGTGTGTGTGTGTGTGCTTGTACTAATGGTTGTGTGTCCACCTACCTTGAAATATAAACAGCCATCAATGTCACCATACAGTGCATGTCTTGGGCAAAGGAACAGGTTAATTTAATTAAATGTAATAATTCAATCTAATTTTTACTTTTTTTATTTATTTTTTTTCATTTTTGATTTAACTTTTATTTTAATTAAATGTAATTATTGTTTATAAATTGGAATTTTTGAGTAGATAATTACTTTTGTGTGTACTTTTGTTTTTGTGTTAATGTGTGTCAGATGTGAACATTGATGCGTTCGGTGATCAAACAGTAGAATTCTTGTGTTGTTTTACCGTAATGTTTTACAGATTTGGTGCTCTTTCCTCTGACATTCAAGTTTACATTTCAGTATTTTGTTGCATGTTTTGCAAACAAAATTCCCTAAATAATTACATATGTCATATGACATATTCACATTAAAATGACATATTTAAATATGAATATTTGAATATATATTACATGCCTAAAACAACTATATTATCATGGTATTATTTTATACTTTGAAAACTTCAGGGTACGTTTTTAATGTTGTATCATTTATTATCAGTATAGCAATACAAATATCAAGATTTTTATTAGTGCTGGGCGGTATACCGGTTCATACCGAATACCGGTGTTTATTTTTGTTATGATATGAATTTTTAAAATACCGCAATACCGGTCGCTTAAACAACGTTTGGAACGCGACACTGTATGTGTTACTAAGCGTGAAAGTTCTGAAACTGAAGCTGTAGAACTAATAGAACATGATGACACAGAAGAACTCATCCACAATATCCACATTCACCGCCACAAATATCCACCGCCCCCTACCATCAGCTCCCGCGTCTCACACACACGAGCGCGACTTTAGCACTAGATTTAGCAACTTTCAGACCCTTTTAGCTGGTTAACACCTGGTCATGCATGAAAAAAAAATACCGTCATGTACCGTGAAACCGGTATAATTTTGGAAAATACCGTGATATAAATTTTTGGTCATACCGCCCAGCACTAATTTGTATCTCTTCAAGTGTTGATTTCTGTTTAGACCATTAGCCACAAGACAGCGTATTTTTACTGTCTTATCTTTCAATCCCTTTTCGTTCCACAATATCTTTCCACAATATCTCCTTCAATCTTTGCTTTCTTTTTCTGTCTGTGGTTTTTTTGTCTGCCCGTCTCTTCTCTCCCTCTCCTTCACTCTTTCTCTTCAGCATGAGAGACAGCACATTCTCAGAGTAAGCATGATTTTACACTCCGCCTCCTGTTCCCTCTCACACCAGTCCTTCCCCAATCGTTCGGTATGAGGACTGAAATGAGTCTTGAAGGCTTCTGTCGTTCTAATGATGGCTTTGGCATGTGTGTGATCATCTAATGATGTAACCGTAGCACCTTCCTTGATGAACTTTGCTAAACGAATGCTAAAACACAGGATGCACGGCACTAATACCTCCTTGTGAAAAAGTAGTACACTTTTGCATACTTTAAAAAAAGAGTACTACAGAAAAATATTACGGAAATAATATACACTGTAAAAAATGACCGTGAATTTAACGGTAAAAGACTGTAAAAATGCTACAGTAAAATTCTGTTAAATGGTTAATGGTAAATTCCCCTACTATATACGGTGAAAAACTGTATTGGACATTACATGTATTGGACATTAATTTTACGGTAGTATACCATTTTTGGAAGTCGGTAAATTCCCCTACTATATACGGTGAAAAACTGTATTGGACATTACATGTATTGGACATTAATTTTACGGTAGTATACCGTATTTGGAAGTGAAAAAGACCGTATAATTTACAGTGATTAACCGTAAATTGACATTCCCAGAATTCCCTGCGTTACATTTCAAATTTGATGTTTTTTTGTTGAAATAACTATGTTTCTTTTTAGTTTTTTCTTTTCAGTTTTGTATATTAGCGTTGTGCGTTACACCTAATGTCGTTAAATGAATGTTTATTGAATTGTTTCAGTTTCACGTGTGTTACATGATGGTGTTTGGTGTTTGTGTGAATGACACTGTGCACCTTCTATATATGTTATTATTTAAAAGCTGCTTGTGATAGGCTTTGATTCATCGTGTGACTTTCTCATCACCACCTGCATTTGGTGGTTATCAGTGTATTACAAAGGTACAAAACAGATTTTAGTACTTCAATAGGTTGGTATATAATAACATTTTATCAGTTAATGAAATTACGGTATTTAACTGTAAATTTAAGTTACAACCGTAAAACCTAAAACGTTGCTACCGTATTTTTTACGGTACAATTCCGGCAACCACAGCTGCCGGTTTTCTACCGTAAATTTTACGGAATTTTTTTTACAGTGTACTTTTAAAAATATATTTAAGTGTGGACTGAATATTATGTTTTTGGACACTTAATTTCATGTTATTTACAATTAAATGAAAATGTTCTATCATTTAAACTTACATTAAATACAATTAGTTGAACTTAAGAGTGCTTTTTGACACACTTAAATAGGACTTCAGTACATCTTCATATGTAATTTCATTATTACTTCTTTGAAATTTGGTTAAAGTAACTGCTGAATGTACTGACAAGCATTTATGGTACAATAAAATATACTTTAATGTCATTTCTATTGAACGTATATGTCACATATTTAAAATATGTTTGTAATTACACCTTTCTAATGATGAAGTTGCAATTTAGTACATTTGTGACCCTGGAGCACAAAAGCAGTCTTAAGTCGCTGGGGTATATTTATAGCAATAGCCAAAAATACATTGTATGGGTCAAAATTATAGATTTTTCTTTTATGCCAAAAATCATTAGGATATTAAGTAAAGATCATGTTGCATGAAGATATTTTGTACATTTCCTACTGTAAATATATTAAAACTTAATTTTTGATTAGTAATATATGCATTGCTAAGAACTTCATTTGAACAACTTTAAAGATGATTTTCTCAATATTTAGACTTTTTTGCACCCTCAGATTCCAGATTTTCAAATAGTTGTATCTCGGGCCAAATATTGTCCTGTCCTAACAAACCATACATCAATGGAAAGCTTATTTATTCAGCTTTCAGAGGATGTATAAATCTCAATTTCGAGAAATTGACCCTTATGACTGGTTTTGCGCTCCAGGGTCACATTTAAAATATATTAACTTTAAATGTAATATCAAATAACACACTACAGTTCAAATGATCAGGTTCTTTACATGTGCTTCATTATGCTAGTCAGCACATAAGTGTACTTCTTTAAAGCTTTTAAATTTACATTATTTCAAAGTGCACTTTTAAAAAGTGTACTTAAGTGTTAAAAAACATACAGTAATCATGAAAGTGTACTCGAAGTATACTTCGTTTTATTAAGTACGCTTTTTTTAATCCTATATTATCTACAAGTACAGTTTTTTTTAAATATAGTTAAAGATTTGAAGTACACTACAAGTGCACATTCATTACAAATAAGCACACTTCTTTTTCACAAGGGCCTGCATGGCGGCGTCACAGTAAATAGACTTTGCATCTCTTTTATTGGCTCTGATTGGTTGACTACACTGCAACTGCACGGATGTGAGCTGTTTGTTGTGTACTAAATGCATACTGGGCAGGATGTCACGCAGTGGAGTTGACATTATAGTTATACAGTATTTTTTTGAACATTTCTGATGCGCTGGCTGTGGAGTGTACAGTATGTGCGTCTGTGTGTGTCCGTATGGGCAGTGATGATCTCCCATGGCCCTGAGAGCTCTGTGATTACATCTCAACCGTCATCATGTGAGTTCTGAGCCCGACTGACCACCGGAGTGAATGTCGGCTGCTGTACTGCGTTGCAGTGAGGCTCCGTGATGTTTGGTTTACAAGAAAGTGCTGATTTTTAAGAGCACCTGACTCTGTACAGGAGCAAAGCTTGTTTGAATAACTTATTTTAAGGCAGGAATTTCATGACACATTTGTTCTTGTTATTTTCGGGGATAAAATTAGGAAAGTGACAGAGAGAGAGTCTGAATAGGAAGAGGTTGTGTAACATTGACCCAGAGCAGACGTGCCACACAAAGGCCTGCTCTGTCTTTTCATTTTATGGCTGTTATCATCACACATTTTTGCTGCGTCCTTGTCATCTAAATGATTCAAAGACGTTTTCTGCAGAAATCAACTTGATTCCTTCAGTATAGTTTTTGGTTATAGTTTAAACTGTTTGGTTACCAACATTCTTCAAATTTTCTTTTGTGAAAAACATTCAGTTTTGGGTTGATGTCAACTTAGGTTTGAACCCCAATGGAAGTTAATTCAAAGTTGGGGAAGTCCCATACGTGTACTAAACCAATACATGGTTTATAGTGTTAATGGCAGCCTACATATGGTCAAATATTTGTAACTGAATTTTTTTTTTTTACAATTTTAATACATATAAGGAATTCTTCAAAAATGTTTTAACCAACCTTTTAGTAACCACGAAATCAGTCAGAGTATGTACTTTCACTGGACACTCAAATACATGCTTGTGAACTGAAGCACTTTCTGTTACGATAATTATTAACAAACATCAGTACTGGCATTTTTATGACTTTATTATAGATATAGATATGATACATACAGTATTTAACATACCAGCTTTAGTGTATTTTAAAGACTTTTGAAAGGATAGTTCACCCAAAAATGTTTTAATCATTTGTGACCCTGGACCACAAGACCAGTCATAAGGGTCAATTTCTCGAAATTGAGATTTATACATCATCTAAAAGCTGAATAAATAAGCTTTCCATTGACGTGTGGTTTGTTAGGATAGGACAATATTTGGCCCGAGATACAACTATTTGAAAATCTGGAATCTGAGGGTGCAAAAAAATCTAAATATTGAGAAAATCGCCTTTAAAGTTGTCCAAATGAAGTTCTTAGCAATGCATATTACTAATCAAAAATTAAGTTTTAATATATTTACAGTAGGAAATTTACAAAATATATTCATGGAACATGATCTTTACTTAATGTTCTAATGATTTTTGGCATAAAAGAAAAATTTATAATTTTGACCCATACAATGTTTTTTTTGGCTATTGCTACAAATATACCCGTGCAACTTAAGACTGGTTTTGTGGTCCAGGGTCACATTTATTCTCCCTCATGTTGTTCCAAATCTGTATGACTTTCTTTCTTTTGTAGAACATAAAAGAATATATTTTGAGAAATGTCTTGAAAGAGTTTTTTGGTCCATACAATGGAAGTCATTGGTCATCAAAACTGTTTATTTATCAACATTCTTCAAAATATCTTCTTCTGTGTTCAGCAGAAGAAAGAAACTCATACATGTTTGGAACAACATGAGGGCGAGTAAATGATGACAGAACTTTCATTTTTGGGTGAACTGTCCCTTTAAGGTGGACGTTTGGCTAAATAAAAAAACATTTTGAGTTGCGAGAGACTACCCTTAACAGATCGCACCCCAAAAGTTGATGCATATTTCGCACACTAGACCACTGTGACATTAGAAAACAAAGGGATCCCCTGATGACATTATTGGAGTCGTCACACCCACTCCTGTACCAGCCACTGGCGTCTCTCATTATTTACTCTTTTAGTTAATAAGTAACTGACTTTACAAACTCATAAGCAGGAGTAAACACACTCACACACACCCAGCTCTACATAAATCAGCAGGACAGATAGAGCTGTTGTGCTTCGCAGGATCTGCTGAGGTTTCTGCTGGTCTGGATCTGCTCTGGAATGTTCCTGAGTATCTGCTTCTCCATTGGGAGCAACTGTCCATCTGCCTTTATGGATATTAATGCATAAGTGCTGAAGAGAGGACACTTTTGGGTCGGAGTTGTTGCTTGCACAAGCAGAATTCCATTCTTAGCATTATGACTGCTGCAGATCATGTGTCAGTCTTTGTTCTTGGTTATCTTTAGGCACAAATGAGAGGGAGCAAGTGAGTATAGTTTGGGGTTGAGAGATGCGAGTGTGAATTCTACATTGGAAAGTGTAAATGATTAAAAAGAGGACCTAAGAACCCAAGGATTTGGCGCCGAGTGTTTCCGGATGGTCTTTATTTGTTGACGTGGTCCCGAGAAAAAAGACCATCTTTCTTCTCTGAAGTCAAACAACAACAGCTGCTGAATGCAGAAAACAAGCACAAACTTTGAGAACTAAGATGAAACACATCTTCGATGGACTAAACCCCTGAAGAACGGCCTTTGAAAGCCAACAACCAACCTGTAATGGAGATATTGGTGGCCATTGCATACTGAAGTAACGATTAATAATCTTATGCGGAAGTAACTTACTGATCCTTCTTCATCAACCCTCTAGTGACGCTCTTTATTTGTCGTTGTGGTCCAATTCACACTTGCAGAAGACCATCTTTCTTCTCTGAAGTCTGGCCTGTGCAGCTGCTGAATGCATGAAAACAAGCACAAACTATAGGAGTAAGAAGAATGGACTGAACTCCAGGAAGAACGATCTTTGAAAGCCAACAACCAAATTGTAATGGAGATATTGGTGGCCATTGCATACTGTGGTAACAATTAATAATCTTATGCGGAAGTAACTTTATGTTCCTTCTTCATCGACTCTCTGGTCACAGCGTTTACAGTCTGAAGAAGCATAAAGAATCGAGACAGACACGCATGCAGACTCTTTTCCAGTACAAACGGTGGGAAACTGGAACAAACAGCAGCATAATAAAGTGTCTGCAGAGGTTACTAAAGGCCACTTGTGTGTGAGTGTGTTTTTTGCACTGGAATAATGTGGCACTAGTCAGAAGAGCCGACACTCACACCCTGATAGAGGTTACACCCTGATGAACATCTGCGATAGCGTTGACGTACCTTGAAGGAGTGAGTGAATCCACAGACCCACCCTAATCAAAAATATCAGCAGGATCTGGCAGTCTGAGCGGAGTGTCATTGTTGAACTGATTGAGCCGCTGGCTGTAGTAAGAGACAGACACAGAAACATGGATTCATCACTTAGCTCTCAGGACGACTGGGAGAGCCTTATGGAGCTGGAGGAGGCTTTGGCAGGCTGGTTAATTCAGGGTTCAGACTGGGACCAGAACTGGCACTGGGGCCCGAGCGACGACCCGTACCAGGATGAGGAAATACCTGCTGTGAGTCTCCATAAAGATTCAACAAAAGAGTATACGACTAGTTTAGGGTACACTGTCAATAATAATAGGCCAATGTACAACATTATGTAAATATATACAACTATTGTGTGTATATACAGTATACAGTGTGTGTCTATATATACACACATACTTTTAAGTTTTCAGACAAATTTGTATATATAATAATAATATTGTATTTTATTTATTTACTTATTTATTTTAGTATAAACAAATGTTGACTCTAAATTGTCAGTTCTGTCTATATATACAATGTTGATTTCATATTTTTAAGAATATAATATAATATAATAATTATACATAGAGAGTGAGTGCAGGTTGATAGATGGTCGTGTGAACTGTAGATGATAAAAAGGACGTGATAAGGAATTATATATTATATTATATTATTTAGCTGATTAATTCTGTTTTGAAAATAAGAAATTAACTTGAACGTATATTATAAGCATGACAATTTATAAAATGATGTGTATAACTCACACAAAACACACTTTTTAGTCAAATTGTTATGCTTATTTATATATTTATTTTATTTATTTGCTCATTCTAATATTGTAGAACATAGTAAAAAAAAAGAAAAAAAAAACATTAAATGTTGACAGTGTCAGTACTGTCTATATATGTAATGTTAATTTCATAATTTTGAAACAGAATTAAATGGTTAAATAATAATATACATTTGTGTTTCATTCTAAAGGTATTTATGATCTTTTGTTGTTGTAGTTGTTGTTTTCTCACATCTATGGCAACAGTGTATCACGTTCAATTTTTCATGTAAGGAATCACCGTTTTACATGGTTGATCTCAAGACACCTTATCAATGTTGAAGTAATTGTCTTGTCTTTTCTCAGAGCATTTTGTCTTTAAAGGCTGTTTACGCTCCACTGCCAGGTGTACGTTCACTTATTAGCAGGAGTGGAGACTGCGCTTGTGAATGAGAAGCAGTATGACTCCACAGTGGGAATGAACTCGTTGTGGTTCATCTCACGCTGCTGCATGGTAAAACTAAAGCAGCATCTGCCTGATGATCAGCTGTGCGAGAGTGGAATGGAATGGCTGTTTTTTCTGCGTGTGGATGGATGTGTGTGTGAGTGTGTGTTCCTCATCTACAGCTTTATGTGTTTTGTAGGTCCTCAGTCCCACATACAAGCAGCGTAATGAAGACTTCAGGAAGCTCTTCAAGCAGTTGCCGGACACAGAGCGTCTTATTGTGGGTAAGAGCTCTCATGTACTGAGTGTATTCATGAACAAATTAAATACTTGCTTATATGTAGAATTTAGACTTAGTATTTGTTATAAGAGAGTGATTAAAAAAAAAAGATTTTGCATGTTGGTCTAATTGAAAGTCATTGTTTTTCTGGTTTAAACCCATTTTGTTCACTTTGTTTAATAGCAAATAACACTCTCTGTAGACTGTGCACTTAAAGCACGTTACATTGTGGGGGGGTTGGGAGATCTCCTGGAGAACTAAATGGACGTAAACTAAAATATTAGAAAACAAAATTCTTCAATTGAATGATGTAACAGTAGGGGCATCTTTTGACCTTTGACCTCGTCCTGTCATTGGCAGACTACTCATGCGCTCTCCAGCGGGACATTCTCCTGCAGGGCCGCCTCTACCTCTCCGAAAACTGGATCTGTTTTTACAGCAACATCTTTCGCTGGGAGACACTGGTAGGATTTACTGTAACTCAAACTTTTGGAGCTACAGCCTGAGATTGGAGAAGAGTTGAGTTGAGTTGTTGTGTTTCATGCGTGCGCAGCTTACAGTGCGGCTGAAAGACATCTGCTACATGACGAAAGAGAAAACCGCACGTCTGATTCCCAATGCCATACAGGTGTGCACAGACACTGAGAAGGTGAGAGTCTTTCAGACAGTACAGCATATTAACACATAAGTTGTTTCTTGGTGTTCGTCACTTGCTATCCCTGCTTTTCTCTTCCCTTCAGCACTTTTTCACATCGTTTGGTGCGAGAGACAGGACCTACATGATGATGTTTAGACTTTGGCAGAATGCACTGCTGGACAAGGTGAGAATATGAACACATTAGTGATGTCAAAAGTTTGATACCAAGTTGATACTAAAATTGAAAAAAATGCAGTGGCCAATCAGAGAAGTTAAAGCCCCATTCAAACCAAGAAAGATAACTATATTAGCATCCACAACAACACATTATTATAAGTGCACACTGCGATTTTGTCGACTGCTGCCTTAAATGCTCAAAGTCTATAAAGGGTTAGTTCACCCAAAAATGACTTCCTTCTTTCAGACGAATCCAGTCGGAGTTATATTAAAAATTGTCTTTGATCTTTCGAGCCAGGATTGGCTGTTAATGTTTATATCTTTCATAAGCTAGAAGAAATGGTTTGTAAAGTGATTAAATTGTGCCATTATCGTTACAGTTGTGCCGAATCCTTTTATTATAACCAACAAAATGTAAACATGATGTAAATAATACATGATGTAATTCATTGTGCAGTATAACGAACTGAAGTGATTGGCAACTTCAGTGATTATTAAGAGAAAGAGCTATTTGCTTCTTTGGTCTTAATATTATTAGTAAAATTAGTAATACAATTAGGACAAAGAACCACATTAGAATCACTTTGGCTTTTGGTAATTTGGTCAAAGTTATATGCTATTTTAATGTATTATTTACAGATAATTATTGTTATCATTAATAATTAATTGATTTTTTATTTTTAAATAATTCAGTAAAATAGTTAAGTAGAGTGACAGAAGTACAGGAACGGTTATGCAGAGAGTCCTTATATGGACATGTTTGGGCATGTTTTATGCAAATGACTAACCTCGGGCACGCAGTCACACATTTACAATACTCCAAAATCATTAGAACGTTAATAACAATTATAAAACATTAGAACGAGGTTAAGAACAAATTCATGTGTCTATGCAAGTGTTGTGAATTAAGCTGAATTTTGTCATGAAAAGCTCTCTTGTGTGCATAAATGCAAATAATCCATGCAATTATTAGTGAATTACTTGTGTAGAACATATTAAGTAATATTGAATATGTTACAGCTGATGTTATCTAAGCAAATATAATGAAATGCGATATGCTCTGTGTGCAGCCTCTCTGTCCTAAAGAGCTCTGGCACTTTGTACATCAGTGCTATGGAAATGAGCTGGGCCTCACTAGTGACGATGAAGACTATGTGCCGCCTGATGATGATTTCAACACCATGGGGTGAGTTATACATGCATGCTCTCTTAACTACTGTTCCAAAACCCAACATATTCAGATATGGTCTATAACAGATGTGAATGTTGCACAAATATTGCACCTAAGTGTCCACATTCTCTCTGTTCAGATACTGTGAGGAGATCCCAGCAGAGGAGAACGAGGTCAGTAATGATAACTCATCCAAGAGCAGCAGTGAGAACAAGCCAGACAACTGTTCTCCTCCGTCACACAAGAGATCCATCACACACTCCACCATCACCTCCACCACACCTCCCAGCAGCACTGATACACCACTGTCTGTGAGTATAAGCTCGCAGTCTGTCTTCACATATGCCATTTTAAAGGGGTCATATGGTGTTTCTAAAAATAACATTTTGTGTATTTGGTGTAATGAAATGTGTTTATGCAGTTTAAGGTTAAAAAAACACATTATTTTCCACATACTGTACATTATTGTTTCTCCTCTATGCCCCGCCTTTCTGAAACGCGTCGATTTTTACAAAGCTCATCGGTCTGAAAAGCGAGGTGTGCTCTGATTGGCCAGCTATCCAGTGCGTTATGATTGGCCGAATACCTCAAGCGTGAGACAGAAATGTTACGCCCCTCACATACTGTGAGTCCCAGCGCGATGAGACAAAACCAATAAAACCCATTACAAACGAGGCATTTGTTGCATCCAGTGGGGACATAATTACAAAATGTGAGTCTTTTTACGCGTTGTGTTGCATCGCACCGCGTGAACATAAAACCATGTCTGCATTTATGATCGGAGAAATGACAAACAAGCGCTACTCTACACTGCTCAAAACTCGCGTTTGAATCATCAGTGGCAAATCCTTAAAATGAAAACGTACTTACAGTCTGTGAGTAAGAACAGCCGGCATTGTAGTCTACTCCAGTGTTTCCCAACCGGGGTGCCGTCTGTTGAGAGCAGGGGTGCCGTGTAAAAA